TTATATGGAGTTGCTCATGAAGGATAAGTGGTGTGTGGTAGAGTACTAGAGTCCATCTCGAAAGACGGTGCCACGACGATGAGAGTCCGAGAGAGGATGATCTGGAAAAATATTATCCCAGAGAATGATGAACCAAAGTGCCCTACTATCCCATTCAGAGTCATAGAGAAACAACGCTACCATCGAGTTGACAATGTCAATAAGCTCTCGTGTTAAAGGTGCTTGGCCACACCTATTGGCTATTAGCGAAAATAGTGCTAATTATGGATCAAGACAAATGAAATATTTGGTGTTTAATCACTCAATTTAGAAAACACTCAAAACAACTATAACCTTATAATTTGTCTTATGGTTAACACTTAAAATAAACTAGCTCACAAAAGAACTATATAACGCACAAAACAACTTTGTGCCTTTTTCTTTTCTTCCTGGTGATCTCTCCAATCACTCTACTAACAACCTGCATTCCATACAACACATATATTGAAGCATCCCCAGTCAAATTCACTGCCTCCACGAGTTTCGTCAGACTTCGAATTGCTTTTCAGGACCAGTCTCATGCTTCGAACCATCGTCAATGGCGTTGAATCGTCCATCCTTCTTTTCCCGCCATCGTGAAACTTTAAATTTGCAGAACCCATAAATTCCAATCCGAAATTGGGAGTTTTTATTCAGGTATCTCTAGGTTAATTCGATTGATCCTAGAGCATCCTCGGACTTCCCTTGATGATTCTGCAAGAGCCACTTGGGTCGAATCATCCCCGATTATTCCAACTCATTCACTCGATTTTTCCCCGTGCTCGGCCAATTTCATAGGAGTTTTTGCTCGAATTCGATCCATCAATGGAGCTGGATTCGGATCAATCTGAGCAAGGAAAAACATTCCCGAGGCCTCCTGGAAGGTGTGGGCGTCGCTGGGTTGGTTTAACTCTTGCTCCAGAGTTCCCCCAATTCGTTCTCTCTCCTGTTCTGCTTCGGCGAGATGGCACAGAGCTGTTGACGACGATGGACCTTCTGCTTCTTGTATCCAGTGAGCTTGAATCGCTTGGCAGTTTTTCGATTTTGGCTTGAACTTTTAAGAAGTTTGAAAAATGTCCCTCCTGGCATTCACTCGAACACCCAAGCACTCTACCTTGTAGTCGTAGAGAAGCTTTCCATCTTCAAAACAAACCTCTAATTTCCCATTTCCATTGAGCAAAATGTGAGAAACAGGCGTGCACAGTAAGCTTCCTGAAATAGAATAAACACTTAACAAATTTTGTGGGTTCTTGTTAGTTGGTGATATTGCTTCTCGATCAAGCAATAAAAAATTGTAGGATGAGCCAATTGAGATCATATCACTTGCCTTGTTTGTACTTGATCAAGTATGGGAAGGACTCATGAACTCAACCCAACGAGCATGCCTCTTGTTCAATTTGTGTTGGGCCTTCAATTGCTTCATCAAATCCTCCATTCCAAGAAATCAAGAACCTTCTTCAAGAACCGCAAGAAAGCTTCCAAGAACTCTCGAAGAACTTCAAGAAGTCTTCAAGAATCCCTCCACTCGTCCAAGAATCTCTTGTGTAGTCAATTGCTTTCTGCAGTGAGCTCTCTTTCGCTAGGGTTCAAATCAAGAGAAAGGTCTCGCACTGGAGCATGCCACAACAAAAGGATAGTCCACTATGTATTTCATTATTTCCAGAAGGAAAAAAGAGAAATACACATCATGGTGAACCTGTCCTTGTGATCGGGATGAGATGGTTCCCTTCGACCATCTTCAATAGAGAGCTAGAGTGCCAAATCCTAGCTCTCATCTCCCTCCAATAAGCAAGAAACGTGCCAGAATGTCAAAAAAAATTGAGGCTATTTTTGGCCCGATACACGATAAGAAGTGCTAAAGCATCAGCAACTACGTTTTGCCTTGTTTGTACTTGATCACGTATGGGAAGTAGTCGATGAATTCAACCCAACGAGCATGCCTCTTGTTCAATTTGTGTTGGGCCTTCAATTGCTTCATCAAATTCTCCATTCCAAGAAATCAAGAACGGTAAGAAAGCTTCCAAGAACTCTCAAAGAACTTCAAGAAGTCTTCCAGAATTCCTTAACTCGTCCAAGAACCTCTTGTGTTATCAATTACTTTCTGCAGTGAGCTCTCTTCCGCTAGGGTTCAAATCTAGAGAAATGTCTTGCTCTGCTTTGACAGAGCATGCCACAACAAAAGGATAGTGCACTATATATTTCATTATTTCCGGAAGGAAAAAAGAGAAATACCCATCGTGGTGAACTTCTTCTTGTGATCGGGAGATCAGAGATGGTTCCCTTAGGCCATCTCCAATAGAGAGCTAGAGTGCTTAAGTCTAGCTCTTGTCTCCCTCCAATAAGCACAAAAAAGTGTAAGAATGTGGGTAAATGCCACATTTGGTCACTGAGATTACTAATCGTGTCATGTTTAATCACTAGAAAAAATTAATATAAATTTTGGTCTCTCAAATTACTGAAACATGTCACATTTACGGGTCGTTTGCTTGAGGGTTTTGGGGATGGATTTGGTCATGGAAATCTATCCATCATGGACTTTAAGGGAAATCCATCGTTTGCCTTAGGGAATTAGGGAGATGGAATTTGTGGGTCCCTCCACTTTTGGGGTTCCAAATCCGTGGACCCCACGGACTTGGAAGTTCCACCTCTTGAGGTGGGATTTGGGTGATGGATTAAAATCCATGATGGTGAATTACCTTTCTAGCCTTACTTATTACTTTAATTACAAAGTTGTCCTACTTTAATTCAATGGTCTTGCAATTATAAACTTTTATAATGTCGTATTTTATATATATGAGAATTTTTCATTTCGTTTTGTAATATCATAGTTTATTTAAATATGAATGTATATGTGATTTGTTAGATTCAACTATAAACATCTTATGCTCGTCTTGTGCATTATTATTTGATTGATTGTCGAATTCCAAATCGGAGAGTTAGCAAGAAGTTGATGAGTTGTAGCAATAAAGCGAGCAATTGGTTGCAATTGATACATAATACTGCGTACATTATTAGATAAGTTGTTAATTAGTGCCAAACTATAATACATTTCTATATTTGTAGTTGAATTATTAGTCCACATAGTGGTAAAGAGTTTAAAATTTCATTGTATGCGTTAGATTTTTTTAATGAAATTTATGGATTATAATATAGAAATATAATTAGATAAGATAAGGGTAACAATTTAATTTGAATTTCATATCCACAAATCTATTCAAACAAAATCTATAATCAAATCCGACAAGCAAACAATAGACTTGGTCAAATCCATAATGCCACCAAATCCATCATATATCCATGGTTTTCCAAAACCCAAGTTTAACCAAAACCTTCATTTTTCAAATCCATGAAGCAAACGACCCGTAACGGTTACTTTCCCGTTAGTTTCCGTCCAAAGTCGCACACGACCCGTTGCTTCGGCTTCCTTCCCCCGCATGTCCTACACGTACTATTGGCCGCCTGTTCTCTCTTTTTTTTTTTTTTGCCATCCCCCTGCTCTATCATGTCATTCTATTACAATTAGTAAATACTTGTGGAATTCATTTGGAAATTCCATCTCAATTCCTCGGAATTGCTATAACTAGTTCCAATTTCGTAGAATTCAAAATGTAGAATTGAAAATGAATTCTTTTTAATACCAAACACAAAAATATTTCATTTCAAAATGAATTCCTCAAAACTTATAGAATTCATTTATACCAAACGGTATGTTAGAAATTAACCTAATCAATTTCCATCTACGTATTAAGTTCTGGTATACTTAAAGCAGTCAAATTGGATAGAAACTAATCTATTATCTTAATTGATGATATGAAAAAAATTCAAAATTCAAAATTATATCAAAATGTTCGTTTTAATTAATTATCAATATCTGTAAACTATCTAATTAAAATTTAACACTTTGACATTCTAGCATTCCTTGTTGGAGCAAAATCCAATTTCGAGAAGTCAAAGTGTCAAATTCATCTATTCTAGCATTTTGGCACTCTCTTATTGGAGATGGTCTTAAAGATGGATCCCAGCTAGGCATCGGCGGATCTAGGGGGGCCGCCTCCAGGCCGCGACCCAACACTCCTCTGAATCAAAGCTACGGCCCAACCCACTTTACCTCTATTCAAAATATGGGTCAGTGCTCTACCCGATCCTAGATCCGCCGCTACAGCTAAGTCACTTATAGAGCTAAGGGGCGGGGTCAATGTCCAATCAACTGTTACGGATTTGATGCAATATATGGCTGGGATGATACTGAAGTTTGGACCTCAGCCCCCTATTTTCATTGGACCAACTAGTTTCTGGTTCTTGTATTTCTTCACACTAATGAAATAAATCAAATAATACAGGATCTTTTATTAAAAAAATATCTAGAGCAGGCCTGGCACCAAGGTTGTCAAACTGGTTTATACCGTTGTGCTGGTTTGGCAAGTGAAATGGTACGACCGATGGTATAACCAGTTTGTGCCGGTTCATGCCGGTTTAAAAAAAATATGAAAATAATTAATATCCAATGTATTTAATCATATATAAAATATATTTGTGGACAATTTAGTTACAATCCAACAAATATCATCAACTTTTAACTATTACATTCATAAAATGAATAATAAATTAATTTTTTTATTCATTAATTTTATTAAAATAATGTCATTAAACTTAGAATGTGTAAGTCGATCATACCGGTCATACCAGTGGTGTCATGCCGGTTTCATGACCGGTACAAGTTGAACCAGACTCAACCGAGTGGCATGCCACCGACATGACAACCATGCCCGGCACACAGCACACCTCGTACCTTTCAAATAATCAAACAAATCTTCTCGGGCCCTAAAATTCAAATAAACACCAACCTAACAAACAAACAAGAAACGGTTCAACCGAGAAAATTAATGATAATACTCAACCCATGGCATTTTCGTTATTCCTATAACATCGAGGGCAACTAAACTAGTTCTTTATTATTCCACGCAAAACCTCATTCCCCGTTCCGTTACGCTACCTCTGCGTCCTAATTCCTATCCATCTTAAGGAAAGATATAGCGAACGAACTATATAAACGAAAATCAAACTTCTCTTCCTCTCCTACAGACCAAAATAAATAAAAAAACACTTTGCTAATTTTTTCTGCGATCCATTTCTCAACTCTCCCGTCTTCCGTCCATTCCCTCCGCTGGTCTTCTCTCTCTGTGCGTGTTCGGGGTTAGGGTTTATTTGTTGACCTTGACCCAAGAAGCGATGGGGCAGCAATCGCTGATCTACAGCTTCGTCGCTCGGGGAACGGTGGTCCTGGCGGAGTTCACAGAGTTCACCGGCAACTTCACCAGCATAGCCGCTCAGTGCCTCCAGAAACTCCCCGCTTCCAACAACAAGTTCACTTACAACTGCGATGGCCACACCTTCAACTATCTCGTCGACAACGGCTTCAGTAAAGACCTCCCACTCCTTCCTCTCTCGCCTCTTTGGTTTCTCTCCTTTTTCCTTGTTGTCTTTCGGCGTTCTACTGATCTGTGCTTGTCCTTGTTCGTCCTGTTTGTACCTGTGCCGTGGTTGAGTTGAGTTGTTGGTAGAGTCTGTGATGGTGCGATCATTGGTTCTGACTGGCCATTTCCTCCAGTTTGTCGATCTTGTTCTGTTTCAGGTTACTCCAGATTACCAATTATTCAGATCAGAACACACAGTCTTTGTTTGCATTTGCTGATTATTATTTGTTGGATTCGCTTGGTTGTTGCCAAGTGTGACTAATTTTGAATTTCCTTGTAGATTTGGATGTGTAAGTTTTTTTTTTCTTTTTTGAGGTTTACACTTCCAAGTATGGTGTATTGGGTGTAAGGATTATCTGATGTTCAGATTCTGATTCTGTCATTGGAGCTCGTCCTAACGGCATATCTATTTGTTGAACTTGGGTGTAAGGATGAGGTTTAGAGGCCATAAATGGTATTAGGCGTCTCATGATCAGATTCTAGTTTTCCATCATTGGAGCTCGTCCTAATTGCAGTCTATTTGTTGAACTTGGAGCTCTGAAACATTATTACATGGACTCTGAGATGATGATGATGATGCCCTATATTTGTTTCTCAAATAAATGGTTGCGGGCTGTTTATGTGTGAATCTCCATTCTTCTACTGAGCCAGTATATATCAACCTGAAGTTAGATTATCTGATGGGAGGTTGTCATTTTTTAATTACTGGGAGTGTAATCAACCTTCATTAATTAACTTCCACAAACCCCTGCCACTTTTACTTTTTCTCCAAGCATAGTGCTTTCAGCAGTTCTTTTTCCACCCTCATTTGTAGTTTTGTTATTCTATGTAATGAGGAGAACTCTCAAGGAGTTGAATTGAGAACCCTGTTTAGTAAAACCGAAGTCTTCCCAGCCTGTTGTGCTGTGCTTGGTGTATTCTTCTCCTGTTTCATGGAAGGATTAAGTCTCTACCTGTGAATTTTCAGCCTATTGTGTGGTCGCTGTGGAGTCTATCGGGCGACAGGTTCCGATTGCTTTCCTTGAGAGGATTAAGGAGGACTTCACTAAGAGATATGGTGGAGGAAAAGCTGCAACAGCAGTTGCCCAAAGCCTGAACAAAGAATATGGGTGAATTATTTTAATGCTTGGAAATGTGGGAGCTAGTCTTGCCTTTTCTGGCAAGCCATGTTCACATCTTGGTTCTTGTGCAGGCCCAAGTTGAAGGAGCAGATGCAATACTGTGTGGATAACCCAGAAGAGGTTAGCAAACTTGCTAAGGTGAAAGCTCAGGTTTCTGAAGTTAAAGGAGTTATGATGGACAACATAGAAAAGGTATATAACAGTTAATTTCATATGGAAATTCCAACTATGGCTTTCTTAATTTTCTATTGTTTCCTTATCTTAACGGTTGAAAATCTTTCTGATAACTGGGTTTTCTGTTCCTTTAAGTCTAGCACTGGTTAAGGGCAATGATGGAAACATGTATCAGTTTGTTCACTGATTTTCTTTGCTGCTACAGGTACTTGACCGTGGGGAGAAAATTGAGCTTCTCGTTGACAAAACCGAAAACCTTAGATCTCAGGTATGTTTGGATTACCATGCTTTTCTCCCTGGACATGAGTTGGTCATGTTTAGATTTGAAATTAGTAGACACTAGACAGGGTCAAGATTTTCTGAATCAAGGAATTGTGCCCTTAAACCTGATTGACATTGTCAGACCCAGGTCATGAAACTGTTGATAGTGTTATTATCTGTTTCTTTCTCTCTTGATTTTCAAAGATGAGTTATCACTTCTCTGATTTGTCTCGTGTCTTTCTTAAAGCTGTGCTTGTTGGTTCTCTCTTTTCCATAGAAATAGAAAGCCTTTACAGTTTACATCTCCTAAAGAACGCCTTCTCTCTCTCTCTCTCTCTCTCTCTCTTCTTTGTTAACTATTCCCACTTGGTGAGTCTTTTTTAGGTGTTAAGTGTCTACTTCACTGCAGGCTCAAGATTTCAGGCAGCAAGGGACCAAGATGAGGAGGAAGATGTGGCTGCAGAACATGAAGATTAAGCTGATAGTGCTGGGGATCATAATCGCATTGATTCTCATCATAGTATTATCTGTTTGCGGCGGTTTCAAATGTCATTAGTATCAGTTTCTGCTGCCATGTTCGTTACGAGGGCTACCATATCCCTTAACTTGCGCTTGTACAGTCTTTCCCAACCTTTTTTTTTAAGTTTCAGAATTCATTGTAACGTTTCTTTGAGAGTGGATGCTCGTGATCGTCCGTGTTGTTTGCCCCGTTTTGATTGATGAATCGTAATCTCCTACTTGAATTGCCCAGAAGGAGCTGGATCGTCCTGGAAGTTGTATGTCAATTATTTGTTGTGCCTTGAAACTGGTACCTCCGAAACTGGAAATGAACCAGAAAGTGACATGAACCCAGGCGAAGTTGATACTGCCCGCCTGTGATGTTAAGCAAGCAGAGCGCCCTGCAGTTGGCATTATTTGACGGGGGAAATGAAATAACTAGAAATCAGTGTCTATACTCCCAAAATGGAGAGCCTACAGAGTGAAGAACACGCAGTTCTTGTTGTGGTGTTCTTCATCCGCTGATCTCGATGTTGTCTATCAATCTAACATTGCCGAACCATGCTGCGATGCAGATAACAACTGGCCTATCCACTTCCCCCAGTGTCTCCAAACTCTCTTGATCCACTATCTGGTAAAACACACAAAATAATGGGACTCAGAAATGCGAGCTGGTACATTGCGGCACAAGGCAACGCCAACTTATGAAGGCAAACTGGTCAGCTTGCCGGCAACACGAAACGAAATATCAAAGGGTCTGGTTGTTCAGATGCAAGGACTCACCTCCACATAATCAATCTTCCCTCCAGCCCCAGATATTGCTTGGACCAGAGTCCCTCGCAAATCGCTGCAGTTCGTCGTCTGGCCTCTCTCTACCAACGATTTAGCTTGGAAGAGAGACCTGCTTATGGACAGCGCCTGCAGACACCCGAAAAGATCAGATAAGAAAGAAAGCTAGGGTCAAATAGAAGATCAGAAAGCTGGTAAGCTGTTAAAGAGAGTGGAGAGGGTGGGAGAACCTTTCCTCTGTCCTCTGGGGAGAGGCGAACGTTGCGCGAACTCATTGCCAGGCCATCTTGCTCACGCGTTATGTCACACCCAACTATCCTTACTCCAAAATCAAGATCTCTAACCTGCAGGAAGTTCAACAAAGCGAGATCCATCAAATCATTGGCAGTAACTCGAGACAGCGATAACCCAGAAAATCAACATTCTAGAATGGGTCTAACATCCGTAAGAAGCTTTTGAGCATAAACAAAACTAGCAGAAGGGAAAAGCTTAATGCTAGGGCCCGATCCGCAAATGATTGTTCTCCTATTGTATCAGAGAAACACATATCGACGTTTCCACAAGAACACAAAAGAATTGGCATAAGAACACAAAAGAATTGGCATAAGAAGCTTATAGATTGAGCCCACCATTCGCTGAATAACTCGCCACTGCTGGTAATCCTTCTTCCCAAACACAGCCATGTCAGGGTCCACAATATTGAACAGCTTGGTCACCACGGTCGCAACTCCCCTGAAGAACACCGGCCGGCTCATCCCGCATAACCCTCTCTCCAATCTCTCCACTTTCACCCACGTCTCGTGCCCGGCACCCATTTCTTCCACACACGACGAAACACCTGATGCCGGCGGCCCCTTTTCCCGTTCCTCTGACAATTCCTCGACAATATCCCGTTCCCCTTTTCGGCCAATGTTCCCGTAGTCGTAGAGATTGTGGGGATGGAAAACAGCGTCGACCCGGCGGCACCCGGAAACCGACCCGAGCTTCCGGATATCGCCGTGGAAGTCGGACGGATAAGTGGAGAGGTCCTCGGAGGGAGAGAACTGACCTGGGTTCACGTAGATTGAAACGACGACGACATCCGCTAGGGATTGAGCTTTCTCGACGAGGGATAAATGGCCCTGGTGGAGATAACCCATTGTGGGTACCAAGGCTATGGTCTTGCCGCGGCATCTCATGGCACGTGACCATTTCCTCATCTCGTCTTTGTTGGTTATGATCTCCGGCAGCTCCTCCGGCGCCGCACTCCCTCCTTCCATAGTCGATGACGATGAGAGATCCCCGAGCTGTAAAGGGGAAAGGGAAATTCTATATTTTCCAATATCGAGTCCTCTGGTATTTGTTTTTTTACATATGAGTGGTATTTTCTTTTTACACTATCAATGTGATGTGATGTGACATCCTTCTGAAACCTATTTTTACCAAAAATGCCCTTATAAATATTTAACATTATATATTTGAAAAGAAAGCGAAAACGACATTAATGAAAACATGAACAATTCTGAAATATTTTATTCAATAAACGTTCATCTTAAAATTAAATAAAGTGTCACGTGCTACTAAGATACTAAATCAACAAAATTTTCTTCTGGAGTTCTTCAAGCCACTAATCTTACTCATGAACTGTTTATTTTTGAATGCAGGCGTATGGTCTGTCCTAAGTCATAGGTTCATTATACTTGGCAAGAAAATAATCCAAAACGCTCATAAATGCATATACTCATGCATTAAAATGTTTACTTGACTTGAAATGATTTTCTTGAAAGGGGGCCTCAAGTTTGGCTTAATTACCGCCAAAATGCCCATTCACCAAAACGTGATAACATAAACCTCCATCACTCTGGGAGGTAGGTAATCGTGCGCTAGCTAGGTGACCTTCCAGTACCAACATACTTGTTTAAGAGCTCCTTATATGAAGGAGTGGGTAACATAAACGAGACTTCCTCACTCTAGTAAGTGAGGGGTCGCGTGCATAGCTAGTTAGGTCTGGTTAAAAACATGATCTTGCTTAATATGTATTTGTTTAACCTAACGTAACTTACACTTGCTTGACATGAGGGTCATCCACACTGTGGGAGATCCAATCTCATGACTTCCTTGATTTATAAATTCATATGCAATACATGTTTGGCAGCATCCTATGCTCGTGACATGCATATATGATTAGGTGGCTGACCCATGTGTCTCCCTAATCCATCTCCTAAAAAGAAATCACTAGAAGGAGGATAGGATATAGAAACATAGTGAACGTAGACATCAATGTGGATTATATCAACCACGTATGTATATGTCCTTTATCATACTAGAGCAAATCTAAGGAAAGTCTAGGTGAGTTTGCCTATACGACGCCTTTCCTTATTGTTTTCCTTCGTCTAGTAATATTGTTTTGTTTTGTTTTATTTATTTTCTACATCAAAAGTTGGGAGTAATGTCTACAAGATTGACTTACCAAGATAGTATGGGATAAGTGCAACATTCAAAGTTTCTGATCTTGCACCATATCCATATGGTAACTCAGATTTGAGGAAAAATCCTTTTCAAGAGGGAGGGAATGATGAGGTCATCAAGACCAAGAACACTACACCAGAAGAAGGTCCAAGCACACGTTCAAAAGCTAAGAAGTAGGGGGGGGGGGGGGAATATGCAACCTACTTGAGCAACTACTTTGTTAGCATGGACATGGATCTACTCAAGAGAATGCCCATAATGGTGTTACAGTACAGGGATTGAGATCAGATGAAGGACTTGGGAGATCGATTGGAGAAGAAGGGAGACCGAGTGAAGAAGAGGGTTGGTGACAATGGCATAAAGGATGGGCTTTTGAGGAGTCCTTAGCCCAGAAGGATTAACATTTCTTAGCCTAGAAGGAAGGAAGCCCTAGTCAAGTCATTTGTGGAGAAGGACTTATGATTTTCAGATTGTATGTGTTATTCTCTTAAATTGTTTTGCTTTCATTGTTAGTTTTGGATTGGTGGATTTTAGCCTATTCAAAGGGGTTGAATTTCATTCTATCCAATTACAAGTTTATCAATCAATATAGAGTTTATCTAATGTTCATCATTGAATGTTCGTACAAGACTTATGTTGAGGATTTCAGGAGATTGTATGTGTCTCTTATCAACTAGACGATCACATCTAGTTGTGGCGAGCTTCTACCCAGATAGCGATTGGCCCTTCTCAGAAGTTGAGATGGTTTGATTGTGTTCCACCTTATTATTATTTTTGTTGAAGAAGATAATCATAAAAGCTTGAAGATCGACGTTTGCTACGTACTTTGATCACCTTTATCTAGTATTTTGAGCCTCAATTCATATCATAGGGTAAGCTTATTCAATGACAAAGCTAGTGCCCAGTTATTTTCAATCTTGTCCCGGCCTATCCAATGCCTCTTCCTGAAAGGATCATCCAGTGCCCAGTTATTTCTAATGCTTTGAATGCACACTCAGAGCACCCAACTACTTTATGAATCAATCAATGCACTTTCTTCTCCTAACTCCCCAACCCATGCTCTTTCGCTTCAAACTTAGGAGTGCTTATCTTTAAATACTGATGATAGCAGGGCATATTCGCGTATAAGACACAGAGGCAAGGAAGCAAAAGTCGGCTAGAAGGAGAGAAACCCAGTCACCAGCAGTCAAACTCTCATATGAGACTAAGCAACCACTGACCGTTCGGAAACACCCCTGACCTATCTTGATTAAGACTTAAAACCTATAAAATAGAGCCTAATTTAAGATGTCAAACAAATGATAGAATGGAAAACCAAGAATAACCCACTAGTATGGAAGGGACCCTCCCAATTGGTGGGAATATTTGGATTTATGTTATATAATTTAGGGTTAATATTTTTTTAGGATGGTAACCTGACTGCAACCCATCTGACTCGTAACCGGTTGACCCACAACTCGATTAACCTACAAAATGACTGTTCAAAACTGATGAATTCAAACTCGATTGGCATGCAATCCGGTTAAATCCGTAACCCAATTGACCAAACCTAACTAACCCATTACCCACTTGATTGGCGTGAATAATTATGATATAATATATATTTCAAAAATTCAAATTTTTGTTCTAAAACTAAATAAAACTATTTTTTTCATTTATAGTTTAAAATATAAAATTCACTTGAAATGAAGTATTTTTAATAAGATAACAAAGTTAAAACATGAAGTTAACTTGAACATAAGTACTTTAACAAAATGACAAAAAATAAGCGCATACAGGGATGTGTTCATCTCCTTCTCTTTGCCTGCTTTAGTATGCTCATTCTCCATTTCTTTTGCCTTCTTCTTCTCCTTCGTTGCCCATCTTATTTTCCCTCTGTATTTTGTTTATAAAACCTAACCTTAGCTTTGCCTTATTTTATCTTTGTTAAAATGCAATAACGCAGACATGAGGAAGGTGAGAAGAAGAAGGCAGCTGAAGCGGCGTTAGCGTTGATGTAACCGTATATGTCATCCTCGTGTTTATTTGTGGGGCATGAACTTATGCAAAGGATTGGAAGATCGTAGATGCCTGTGAACTTGCGGTGATAATGGTCTTGTGGTCAAACCCCCATGTGGGTTATGTCAATTGTTTGCACGACCTAACTAACTACACTTCTCGAGCCAAGTATAACTCAAAATGGCGTTGCTAATATTGTGGTGACCAAGGTTGTATTCCATAGGTTTTGGTACTCTAGGCTACTTCTCATGTTGTTGTTACCTAGTCAATCTGTTTAGTTGGGTGTTTTTAGGTCAATTGACAATACTGGTGGAGAAAGCAAGGAAACAAAGCATGTTATTCGGGGTAACTCCCTCCCCCTACATCTAGGTTCTTCATGCACATGACTAACTATGTTGGGTTTGCAGGATGAGGTGCGAAACTTGCTAAAGTAAGGGTTTCAATGATTACTCTGCCTCCTCTTCATATGCTCCCGAAGATCCATTGTTACCTCAGTCAAAGCTCACATACTAAGGAATAACCGTTAGTTCCTCTCAATAGGTTCAAACTATCATGAACACTAAAGCGATGGATCGATGATTCTTGCATCATCTATATCATTGTCTCAGGAACGCATTCCTCCGGCAGGGGATCTGTCGCCTCGTTCACTAAAAGGAATCCTAAGATCATTCATTTATCTCCAATTAGCCTTAAGGCGCTCATATCTAGTCTAACCCTAAAATTCCCACCTAGTTCTGTGACTAAGTTGTAGGCTAGTAGAAGAGAGTGGAAAGATAAGCCATACCATAATCAAGCATAAATGAAGCATATAATCATGGAAAAAAACAAATCCATTCACAAACACTAACACAATTACATCTATATTCAAAACCCAAATCTAGGGTTTGGGGGGGTTTTAACCCCTCGTACCTTAGAGGACTACTCCATAAAGGAGGGAAGAAGATACATGTAGAGAAAATAGAAGAATACTTAAATTGGGGAGATCTCCCTTCCTCCTTGACTCCTCTTTTCTTTAGCTTCTCTCTCTGAAACGAGAAATTTCACAATTGATTTCCACTCTCTAAATTGATTTCCTAACAATGGCCAAGTGTAACCAATGAAAGGGACTGCAGTATAGTGGCTCAAGTAATAAATATCGAATCCACGGGTCTCTAGAGTTACTATTACTCAGCTTCAGTTCATTATCTAGCAAAACAGATCAAGATGAAAGAACTAAAACTACTCTAGCAAACTACAGTTAAAGTTAATCTAATTACAGGTTGGGAACTCACTTAGGTATGATTCCCCCTAGCCACTAGCCAGATTAACGATCGATGATTTCTAACTTGTTTCACTTCATTCACAATGCGGAGAATCCTTGACTAGACCTTGAGTCTCGACTAAAGGAACAAGGCCCTCTTGAGTCAATTGCCTAGAGGGACGTATCCTTCTCTAGAACAATCGATCAAGGCGTTCTGAACTAGACTCCCTCTATCGAATGAGGTTCTCAATCGATACAAAGCAGTGAATCAACCCTCGACTAAAGCAATCGATCCACTACTATCAATCTATGGTGCTCTATTGACCTAATCAGGTATTCGCTCTCATAGGATCAAAGCAGAATCAATAATCTCGACTAAAGCAGAATTGAATCGTGAAAACATGCATAGATTGAATATGAACTCAAGATTATCAAGTCAGAGTACTCATACAATCATCCAATCAAACAAACATAGCTAGGGTTCCTCAAAACCTAAGTGAAGGGAAGTTACTCCATAGAGAAGAGAGAGACTGCAGTAAGAATCTTCAGATGATCAGTCTTCAAGTCCGGGCTTGATTCCCGAGCTCCAATGGCGAAGAAATCCTCCAAAATAGCTCCAAGAATGTTCCCAAGTCGCTCTCTCTCTCTAGGGTTCGTCCCTTGGGTGT